CACAATTTTGACATCATCATACAGACACTTTTGACATCATTTTTGTACATATTGATATAGGTATAGATATTGTAACCAAAAAAAAAAATGTATAGACAGATCCGTTTACTCTTTTCTTTTGTACTAGTTTTGTTTTGGTCGAGAGAATGAATGACCAGACATAAGAAGTTTCAGTTTTTTTTTTGTTGGGGTCTAAATGTTAAGAAAGTTTCAGTAAAAAACTTCATCAGGTGCTTTAATGAACAAAAAGAGTAAAACCAAAATAATAACTCTGTTCTTTGACTTAGTTTGACTCTTTTTGTTGATAATCTCTGTTTTGTCTTTCGTAGCTTCTGAGATATGTTCCCTCTTCTTTTGTATAAACTGTGCATCGAAATATGTCCACACCACATATACCTTTATTATATATATAGTATAAAGATGTTTCTGTGAAACTGTTAGTCCAAAGTGAGTTTCAAACAATTTTGGTCCGGAAGTTAACACATATATTGTCTTACTTTGGTGGGTCACTATCATACGTAGTTAGGCTCTTCAACCCTTATTATTTTAAATTTGGTTATTTGCACAATAAGAACTAGTTAAATTTGGTTTTCGGATGATGCCATTGAAACCAAGATTGTGGTGTACATTTCATTATAGAAAATTAGAAATCTTAAATCTTAAATCATGAGGAAAGTGATGTATTTCTCATTCCTTTGTTGGTTTCCGTCATTTTCTTAATTAGGATTATGTCCGAAGAACATGGATACACAAGGAGTGGCAAGAAGTGTAGAGAGAAGTTTGAGAATCTCTATAAGTACTACAAGAAGACTAAAGAAGGCAAAGCGGGTCGACGACAAGACGGAAAAAATTATAGATTTTTCCGGCAACTTGAGGCGATTTGTGGCGAATCCAAGGACTCAACTTCTTGCTATAACGACACGCAATTCATAATGACCAATGCTCTTCATAGTTTCCACGCTCCTAGTCCGAACATTCATAACATATTCCCACAACATCAGAATCTCTTGACCAATACTCAAAGCCTTAGCCTTTCTAACAACTTCAGCTCCTCCGAGTTGGGTCTAACTTCCTCCTCGGAAGAAAATGGATCTGATAGAAGCAATAGGACGCATTGGAAGGCAAAGATCACGGAGTTCATTGGTGTTCATATGGAGAGGTTGATAGAGAAGCAAGATGTTTGGCTTGAGAAGTTGATGAAGACTATGGAAGACAAAGAACATCAAAGGATGGTGAAAGAAGAGGAATGGAGAAGGGTTGAAGCGGCAAGAATCGATAAGGAACGTTCGTTTTGGGCAAAGGAAAGGGAGAGGATGGAAGCTCGAGATGTCGCGGTTATCGAGGCCTTGCAGTATTTGACGGGAAAGGCGTTGATAAGGCCAAAATCTTCGTCCCTCGTATTGAGGAGTAATGGGAACGGAAGCGATCAAACGATGACTAATGCTGATGAAGAAAACAAGAACATCATGGAGAAAGAACAAATGAATAAGAAAAGGAAGGAGAATTGGTCAAGCCGTGGTGGGTGTTTTTCGAGAAGGGAAAAGAATGTGATGATATACAACAATCAAGAAACTGAAATCCAAAGAAAATGTAGTCAAGATGATGAACATATGAATGAGCAACGCGATCATGTAGGTTGCTCATCTTCAAACCCGAACGATGGAAACCCTAGCCGTGACATTGCCATGGCGGCTGGTACAAACTGCTTTCCGTTGGTCATGGGAGATGGTGATCAAAACTTGTGGGAGGGTTATGGTTTGAAGCTAAGTAAAGGAGATAATAATCAGTAAGTTACTTTTGCCTTTCTCTAAATGAAGAATAATGGAACTTATGTGGTTAACTATATATTTTTTGGTTTAAATTAGACAAAACCTTGAATTGATAGTAAGGGATGATTAGGAGGAGGAATTAACACAATTCATAACAAAAAAACATAAAATTCTAATTAAAAAGAATACATTAAATTAGATTTTAACCAATGGTAATGTTTTGAATTTTGTATATATATGTTATTCATCCATCAATTTAATGTTTAGTTTTTTGGTCGTTTTATCAAAATTTAATCACTGCAAGTATCGAATTTTCATTTACATTAACGTTATTAGCTTTACAAATTTTATGTAATTCTTAAAGTTGAGGTTTAATAGATTCGAGACATAACAAAATATACTCGTGGAAGAAACCATGCATGTAATTTATGATAGTCCCAGAGCTAGAGGAGTAGCCGTGTAGATCAGTACAGAGGATGAGGAGAGTCAGATTTGAGATCAGAGAAGGGATAGAGAGAGAGAAAGTTGAGTAACTATTCGCCTTTTGTTCCCTAACCCTTAGAGACACAAAGTCAATACACTTCCCATACATTATCATCATACTGCTACATTCTGATTTTGTCTTACAGACATTTAATTTGTCCACTTATATGGGTCAGTCCAATATTACTTACACCACACAGAATTGAAACTCTCAATCCTCCGGTTAAAAGTTAAAACTCAAAGAGGTTTGTAACGTTTACGTTTGTTCTAAATTAACATGTGTATTAGTCGATGCTAGTCTTCGATCACCACAAATTACGACTCGACTGTTCTAAATTAATGGATACAAGAAAACGAAATTTGATAAACCAAATTTTACGGCAAATTCAAACCGGTAAACGAGAATGTATCGACCTATAGGGCTATATATACCATGTTCTAATCCCATTTAAGATTAATATTTCTTTTGGTACTACTACTCACTCTCAATGGCTATTGCTGATTAACAAAGATTAATACATGTCAAATTAAAAAAAAAAAAAGATACTAATATAAAAAAATTTGATTTGATTTTTGTTAAGATTTATAAATGCCTTTAGTGATTGGTCAAACTTCAAATCCGATATTGACCCATTTGATCTATGTATACATAAACGCTGTTTTGATATTTAAATAATAGCTACGTATTATTATTTGATCATGCATGATGGGTTTGCAAATTGAGAGGGACAGAAACTGAGCGATAGGAAGAGACAGTAATTTTAAAATAAATGATACATAAGAGAAAACTGGTATGATTTTACAATGAAGAGGTGAATTTGTACCCTACTCTACCCACCTATGACTAGACATATCATCAACTCAATAATTTATTCATAAATATATACATACATATATAACATCATTTTCCATTAAATATTATCATACAAAGCTTTTTTGTTTTTGTTTTTCAAAGTGTTACGAAGTCTAGCTCAATTTAAACTAAAATGTTGGTTCTTTGTGGTGACTTGAATCGTTCTAGTCTATGTCTTTGATTTGGTTATTTGTGATGATTGATATGATTACAATGAATTGTATTGTTACCAAAAAAATATTGTCTTGGTAAATACAATAAGGCGAATACCACAAATATCTTTTTACATGAGTAAATATAATTCAAAATTTTACTTGGGCCTTTTAATGCCCAAGGCCAGATTATGTATAATGGACTCTCTTTTTTCACAGCCCATTCATTATGTTGAAGTTTAAGCGGCAAGTTCACCGATTCAGGAAAAAAGGTACGTTTCTTGATCTGAAGTTCCTTTCGATTTGACGCTTAAATCTGTGGAATAATTCGATTTTATTTGGATTACTGTGAGTTTCATCTTGTTCGATTAGATTCAGTTCCTGATTAGCGTTTGGTTTAGGTTACTGAAGTACTTTTGGACTTGATTGATGATATTAAGACACTTGATTAGATAATTGAAAGATGAATAATTGCTAAACTGAGATAAATAACATAATATCTTTTCTGCTAACGATTAAAAAAAGATGAATTGCAAACTACTTTTTTTTTTTTNTGAAAAAGAGTTGCATCAATTTGAAAACCTAAAGCAAAGCTTAGCTAAACTGAGATGAGAACTAAAATGTCTAATCTGATAATGATGCAAATCTGGAGGGTTTTTTTTTTTACTCAATAGTCGTCCTCCTGGTTCTTGTTTCTTGGTGGGCAATGCAATCTTTTCAATAGAGTTTTCGGTTTCCGATTCTTCCGATCAAATGCCCTTACACAAACATATCCTGCACATATCAACAACAATTTGTTATATGAACTAATATAGTTTCATTGAATCGTAGCATAAGAGCATTAAACAATAGCATACCTCTCCAGAATCCATATTGAATTGCTTCGACATCTAAACCTAACAAATTAGAATCACATTTTCAGACATGACCTTGGATTTATGTCACAACATATATATGTATTCATACAAATGCATAAACTGATTATTCTTTTGAAAAAAATTACCTCTAAAACTCGCGGTTACAGAGGATCCAAAGTACGCAATTCTTCTCGGTAGGTTCCATATCCACTCTCTTGGGACGATGATTGGGTTAACACTAGAGCCATGGTCAGCAAAAACCTGCACAAAGCAACTCAAATTTAAGCATACAATAAAAAATTTCTTGTGGTAATTGCTCAAACAGACTCAAATTAGGCCACAAAGTTACCTCGTTAGTTTGGAAGTACGTTCCATTCAGTGGGAAGCTCCCTCTCATTGCTGTTCTGCAAGGTATCTGTTCACAACCAAGTAGTCATCTTTACAACTTCCTTATATTTCTACTTATGAAATATTCTCTTGAAAATTTTCCACCATGATCTTACCAATATAGTTCCTCGTACTATCTGCGACTTATCTTCCCGTATATTGTTGCATGGAAAACATGTCCTCTCATGACATAATGTATTTCTTTTGTGGGAAACACATCTTTGTTTGGGCGGTTGACTAGAATTAGCTGTTTCGCCTGTGTATAGAACATTGTACAATGATAGGTTAGAAAATCTTTAGTGTTTTATTTTCGTGTTTGATTCCTAGGATAATTGTATTGGTGTTTTCTTCTGACCTGGAGTCCAAATAGCTAACAAGTAGGGATACTCATCATCAAGTTCTCGCTCCTCAAACTGTAAAATATTAAAGGTAGGTTTTAAGACACGGAGAAACATAAACATTCTTGCTAAAACATTAAACAAGAGTACTAACCCCTGCGAGAATGGGATGAGAGTCCGGGAGCTCAAACCTGTCACATTGTTAAAAAGAAAAGATGTAAAAAGAGAGTTATTAGGATGAGAAAAATGATGAATAAATTCTCACATTACGGTTTAGGAAGTAAAATCTGAAAGTGGCAACTCACACAAGGTGCTCAGTGCGTAGGTTTTCCTTGTTCTTCAGTTTGTGTCTGGGTACTGATGCTGCTTGTCTGGGTATCGATGCTGCTTGGGTGCTTAGTACTACCACCAAATCCTTTGATATATCATCTTCCTTGTTGAGCATGATTGTAGGAATGTCATCGTTGTTTTCCCAAGGATCCTTTGATGTACCACCTTCAAAGTTTGTAAGAATTTCATCGTTATTGTAACACGGATAATCCTCAATATCATATTCTGCACACTCTGGTTCTGGTGTTGCTGGTTCCTCGATGATTGGTTCACAGTTTTGTGATCTTTTTGCTTCTTGTTCTTTGTCTTGAGTAAGAAATAAGGACTGTCGAAAATTGACCACAACATGCTTGGATTTATATCTCCTCTCATGGATTGTTACGGTATTTCCCTCCTCTGATTCTGGTAGAGCAAGCCGTGCACTGCCATAAAAAACAAGCGTAAAAGAATATGGACCATTAAAATGGCAGAGTGACAGATTTCTCATAAGACATTTTATGCTTTAATTGAACCTTTGTCTCTTTAAGCTAGATTTCTCACAACATGAATCATAGATGATGGAACATGATAATTTTGTATGCACCTATCATTTACTGGAAACTAATTTAGTAACTCTATAGAATTTTTTGGGTATAACCTTGCATGTGCACTAGCATAGTGTCGGCACTCCGCCTTCATTGGACATGCTTTGCAATTTGGTTTCTTTTTGGTGCAAAAGACCTGAAAATTTTGCAAAGCATATGAGCATTATTCAGCCACTTTAAGATGTAATCAATTCACAAACAGAATAACGTTTGTGAAAATAGAACAAAAACACGTGGGATTTGTTTGAGGTACCTTTCCGAATGTAATCATATGGTAGTGCAGCTCGTACCTAGAATTGTATGATACAATAGAGTTACTGAATTTTCAGAAAAGTTTAGGGGTCTCGAGTAACAGTAGATATTATGCAAAAACAAGATTTTTTTTTTACTTACAAGGTTTTTTGGTCAAGCTTGCAAAGGCGTGGCCAGAGGTACTTTTGCACTGATTCTAATACTGGATACCTGAATAAAATTAAGGGCTTAGCTATTACAATTTCACATGTTTACTTTCATTGTTAAAGAAAAAGATCGCTTAAAGAATTTCTTACAACTCTAGTAGATGCATTTGCACCTCATCAGGTAGTGGCTGTAAGGGAACCCATCCTAGTCGTACAGCTATGCGTCCAACATTAGTGTCAACCTGCATTTTTAAAATTTATGTAACTTTTGATATCTCTACTGTCACTACGATGGTGTATTTTTCTCATTAACTTACAGGGAATGCAATCTGATGTAATGACAGAAGTCTAACACACTCCACACTTTTCAGTCCTAATCCGTTTATGTTCAATAGAAACTCCCTGCAACAAATTAGTAGTCACGTAACTTTATTTCAGTCATGAATGCTTTGAAACTAAGGTTTTATCATAAGCTGAAGTTTTTGTAAATGCTATTCTTACTTGGCTTTGTCAGGGGGAACATCTCTTAGCCACTCCAAGTCAATTCCTCCATGGTCTTGAACCAGTCTGTTTAAGAAGGCCTGTCCAATTTTCAGAGTCAAAATACACCTTGTTAGATTTTTATTCATTTCCTAAGTATTTTTAAAAAAAATAAAAATTAGTCAAACCTTGATTCTACTGGCAAGCATGTTGTTCATCCCTCGTTTTCTTATTATCTCAGCTATCTTGTGTACATTTGTACACCGTAGCGCATCCCAATCAACGGTGTCCATTGTTCTTTTTGTTCTCTCTCTCTTTTGGCCACCACTTTCTGCTTGCTTTCTCAAACTGTCCCAGTCAAAGCTTTCCTTTGGCGTGGTCTTTGTGGGCTTCTTCTTTGCAGATTTACCTTTCCCTGGTTTCTTTACATTCTTCCTTTTTTTCATGTCTGAATCTGTTCTTGTGTTCTTTTCCTGGTCTTGTGCCGGAATGGTGTTCTTCAGTTCTTGTTGATGGTTGCTCATAGCTTGAACAAGACTGCCTTCATCAACACTGTTTCTGAATGCATCACAGTTCTCTACCTCTACCGGTGCTTCGTTTAGGTTCAGTTCGCAACAAGTAGAAGTAGACGAGACTGTAGAAATCCCATGGTCAAAATGTGTCTCGAAGCTGTTCGTAGGAGAATCCAGCAGCATGGGTTTTGATTGGTTTGTAGAACTGATGGAGCTATCACTGGTTTTAGATGTTTCCTGACTACAAACAGCATCAATGTCGTCATCGTCATCAATCTCATCTATGATGATGCAGGTCGGGTTGTGTATTGTCGGAGTTGCAACTGCATTTCCCGGATCCAAGTTCATTACTGTTTCATCAGTTACCGAACTTCCCAACTCTTCATGACACGATCCCTTGATGGCGTTCCACATGATGGGAAACTCTGCAGCCAAGTCCATAAATGCAGAGCTGCAAAAATAAAGAAGTTGATAATTTTATAAACCATTCATTTTGCATATATCCTCTGTTTCTCAGAATTCCCTTGAAGGCATTTACCTCGATGAATGGTCTGCGACATTTTGGGTTAGGAAAACACCAACAACTGAATCAACGACAGATCCTTTCCAAGGTGAGAAACGTCTATCACCTGCAGTAACAAGCTTGCTTTTAGACCAGTTTGCTTTGTTGACAAATATGATTTTGAGGTTTCAAACTCAAACCACGAAGCAATGCCATAGTTTAAAACAATAGATAATACCTTGTACAAGACGCATGCGAGCAATAAACGAGCTTGCACGTCCGTGGAACACGTTCCTCTCCTCTTCCCACCATTTCTGTTTGTCCTCATCTGATCCATCAATACCTTCACTGTCGATGCTCACCATTAGGAGTTTCCACACTCTAGAAGTTTCGTCATCTAGTTGTACCTTTGGTTGTTGATTTTTCTGATCAGGATAAGGAACGATTGAGCCGCCTCTCCTGTATCGTATCGCTGCCTTTAGCTCCCGAAGTGCCTTTTGATGTAGAATTACTGCAGTTTCTCTGCTCTGTGGAAGGCAAGGACTCTCTCTGGTGATGTCTAGTTCCTCCAATAACTTAGCGATGGCATCAGGTGGATAGTTTTGTTCCCATGTATCAATAGGATCTGTACCTGTAATAGTATTGATTCAAGTTAGAAATCAAGGCAAGAATAGAGATGTAAGTGCATTTGTATGTTCTTTTTGTTGTGTGTGTTGACTAACCTGTATAATTTTGGCGTCGCCACTGGAGGTGTAACACCTTTGTATTGAGTTGGCTTGCTATAGGATCTCTGTTACTTCGCTTCTTTCTAGCCACAACTGTTTGCACTAGAGACAGTGTAGAACAGAGGGAATCTCTGGCTGTTTCTGAAGACGCATAAATGCTGCCATCTGTTCTCCGTTTCCTTTGGACATTGGGAAATTGTAGGCAGAACATGTTCTGGGACATGCTTAAACTGACCGTTTGATCATTCCTTCCTGCAGGATCCTCTGCTAGTGTCTTGTCCGTTGAACTACTCTTGCTTTGTCGTCTTCTCTTCGGGATATTACCAAAAACTCCCATTGTTGCATCGGGTATTAGTTTCCCACCAACAGAAATACCTATGTGACCTTCTGAAGTGAAAGTGAGCCCACAGTATCCATCTTCTTCTTCTTGAAAAACATCGTCAAATTTCAGAGATTTTCTACATGATCTCCTTGGACGAGAATAGATGTTTTCTTCAGAAGCTTTAGCAGCTGAAGGAGTAGCAGAGGCTTTTTTACCCGCTGATTTAGAAGCAGATCTTATTGTAGTGCCTTCTCGAACAACCTTTCCCCTAATCTTCTTCCTCTTCTTTGATATCTGTGGTGGTGTATCCACTTGAGCTGCCTTGTTAACATCTCTAGCTCTCTTTCTTTTCTTTTCTCCTGCAGGAGATTTCGTTTCACGAAAAGACTTTTCGGTAGTGTCGCGAGGCTTCTGATCTGTTTCAGGCAATCTTTTCCCTGGCGTGTCTAAAGATATCGGAGAAAACTCAGGTTGAGTTGGTCGCGGTTTGGGGCTTACGATCTCTTCAGGTGTAAGGTTAAGATCACAAATAAACTTCTGAGAAGTTGGCACATCATCTGTGGTGGTGGTTCACAAAGAAAAGATATCATGGTATCATCAGGTAAATAGATTTGAAACCTCACTTAGAAGAATGGAAAATTCACAAACCAAACTATGTAACATGACAATTTGAGAATACTATAGAGGAAACAAATTTCAGACACAAGTGTTTTTTTTTAACTCACATTGTGGTTTTTCCATTGTTGTTTCTCCAGCAATGCCTGTATTTGTCCCAAGGACGGATCCAGGGCTTAAACTCCACGGATTGGACTCCATTTTCCAACTGTTGACCCAAGAATCCATGGAATTCTGAGAATCTATACCATAGCTTGGGAATGATGGTGCACCATAGCTCGAGCCGGCCGAATTAGCCAGAGCCAATAGTTGTGTACAAGACATATTATACACCCCTGGTAAGTTTTCAATACAAAGCCTCCTCCTGCGTGATCATCAACAATTCCAATTCACATTTCTCCTTAATAATAATCCTTATAAAGTAGAAAATAACAAAGAAGTAAAAGATTTACATACACACACAGCTAGAACCAATTCATCAAAATTGCATTTGTTGTTTCAGTTACTGCATTTACTACTCATGTTGCTAAGTGAAAGAAAATCTCAATTCATTTTCTTCCTTTTGCAGATTTTTTTTTTTTTATTCAAAAACAGAAAACCCAGAAGAAGAAGAACAGAGCAAAACAGTGAGCCACAAAACCTGTCTGAATCAAGCTGGTGATTGTATTGCATGTAATGAAAGATCGATTCTTCTTGAGGAAGACAAGGTACAAAGTGTATCTCTGGTATCACTTGATGAACCCTAGCT